GTGTGGGGCCAAGCGCAGGAGATTGGCCCCTTACTCTCTCTCCTATCCCAGAAGGTAAAGTGGATTGGGGGCCAAGTGTGGTCATCAAAGTTAAACCATGATCTAACTGTTGACTTGAGCTTCTCCAACTGAGGAGTGTAATAGTTTCTCAAAAATAAAGAGTTTGTCAGGAGGAAGTTAATTTCCCGCCAATTTAGCGTTTAGGTGGCAGTATTTTGCTTATTTTTGCCTTTCACAAAAACTTTGTTTGTTATACTAATAACAACTTTGGCCAAATCTTTGCTTGCACCCGTCTTGCCCCAAAGACAGCTTGAGGTTAAACTTGCAATGTCCTTTGACCTTATCATATTTGCCAAAGTCTGCTGGCATAAATAGACTGCACTTGTAGCCAATTCCCTCATGGCTTCCTTGTTTGAATTAGTATAGCAGCCATGCAGTATTTTCATCAGATTTTCAGCAAGCAAAACATACATGATTGACGCACCACCACTTATATATTGTCAGCTTGACCAATTTCACATGCAACCTATGATTATGGCCAAGCTGTCCACAGCTTGTTCTCACTTTGTGCAATTTCAGCCACATTGTGGGTATTTTTTGAATGAACTATTGGGATATTCAGTTGGAAAATGAGAAACCTCCCACTGATATTTTCAGTCCTTACTCATTGGAAAGAATATTTTAAAGGGTCTGTGTTAAACAACCTCCCAGGTTTAGTGAAACAACTCCCAAAAACTTGGGACATCATCCAGGGACAAGACCAACATGGAGCAAGCATGCTTAAACATTCAGAGGGCCAGATTCCTGGTCCCTCTGTTTCTTTGGAGGTCTTGCTCAAATACAGGTCTCCATTTTGCCATTTTGGAGTTGTTCCTCCCTGAAGCAAAATACTGACCAAGTATTTTCTCCATTTTTCTGGATAGCTGGCCCTACCATGACTCATTCTTTCCTCTTTCCTCTTCCATTCATCCTTGCTGCTGCTCATCCTTCCATCCAACTCAACTGCCTCTTAACCCTACTTTCCAATGCTATCCTCATTCACTAAATCTATTGATCTTTTTGACTTCCCTCCTCATCTCAAATTCAGGATGTAAGTGGTTCAGTTTGAACCATGACCAATCTGCAACCTGTTGAAGGTCATTTACCCAACATTTACCACCACTGGAGCCTCCATAAGCACAATTCAACAAAAAATGATCTGCTGCCATGATTTTGATCTTCATTTGATGTAGAGTCAGCCATGATTGACAATAGGTTGAAAACTGAATCTGGGACCTACTTGAGTTTGGCTGGGCTAGACAGTGATCACATTTGATAAATTGACATGATCCACCTTTTACCCAGTTTTGGTTTCTGGCACTGTTTTCCAACCCAAACTTAAGCCATTGACATCCTAATATCAAATCCATTATGCCAACCTTGCTCTTATCCCTCAATTCAACCCTTGAACTTGTTTGGCAAACTCATCAGCCTTCTCATTCAGTCCTTCTCAAAATCCATGACCTTGTCTGCTCTCAAGATGGTCATAAAATTGGGGTCTTGGAAAAACAACTCCCAAAAATTAGTTGACGACTCCCAAGGACCGTCAGTGGACGTCCATTGGGAGTCGTGGACTAATCTGGGGTTCACTTTTGGGAGTCGTCCCCCCCCATTTTGTTTTTATTTTTTATTTTATTTTTTGGGAGTTGGCTCCCCAAACCACCCCTCATGCATGGGGGGTTTGGGAGTTGTTCCATCCTGACCGGCACCTCATATAAATTGGAAGGGATCCCTTCCAATTGATCAGGTATTTTCACCCTCCTTGACCAGAAGGGATTCCTTCCAGTCAATGAGACCCTTGCACCTCATCGATTGGAAGGGGTCCCTTCCAATTGATGAGATCTTTTCACCTTGTCAATTGGAAGGGATCCCTTCCAATTGATGAGATCTTTTCACCTCGTCGATTGGAAGGGATCCCTTCCAATAGATGAGATCTTTTTCCCCTCATAAATTGGAAGGGATCCCTTCCAATCTATGAGGACTTTTCCATGCAAAAAATGAAAGTGAACCACCCCCCAGCCGGAGGGAGGGTGTACTGACGGTCAAAAAGGACAATGTGTCGGTAGTAGTTTCCCTTGGGAGGGTACGAACATTTGACGGCATTCCAAGAAAGACTAGTGCTCCAGTAGATTGTCGCCTACCCCAGACCTACATCTCACTATGATATGGGATCAGCATACAAGACTTCAAGGCAGGGCGTCCTATCACTGTTAGGAAATTTCTTCAGACACGTAAAAGATTGGGGAAGCCTCAATTTTATGTCTGGGAGAATCAAGAAAAAATAAATTTTGTGTGATATCAGCCCCTTTTATACAAATCATATCCCACCAACTTCTCCACGTGATTTTTTACATAGACACAATATGGTGTGCGAAATCGCCCACCATGTGGGTGTCCTTTTCTGTTTCCCGTCGTCTCACTCTCTTATCTTGT